CCTGCTGAGCCTCATAGGAATTGTAGTTCAGGCTTTTTAATGCTTTTTTTTCCTCCTTGTGGATCCTGCTGTCTGCTTGGACTTCCTCTCCCAAAGAACAGTGCAGTGTCCATACAGAAGACTTGCTTATGTGTTTCATGAGATGCTTCCTTGCAGGTATCCAGATGGATAATTCCACCCAATCAGTCTTTTACACAAAAAAGTGTTGATTTAGCCAGGCCTTTGCTAATGAGAAACATCCATCAACTGTTTTTCAGAAGGTCCAGTTTTAATCTTGTAAAACATTAATGTGAGTTCGTCAAGAAAGATGACATGGTCCTGAGGAAGGGATCCCTGTAAGGTACAGAAAGGGCAGGTACAGAACAGTAACGGTTTCCTCAGAGTCTCTCACTAACATGCCTCCTTAGCTGCCCTTGGATAAGTCATTTATGGAGAAACCTTAATTCTTGACCCATGTGATTCTGCAAGGAGCATTTCTATTGCCATTCTTACTGACCAGTGTTTTATCTCATTCTAGTACCATCACAGATAGAATGAAAAACCTGTCCCCTTCTCCTCCAGAAAACCCGTTGCCTTATGATCCAGTGTATTTGCTTCTTCACCTTTCCCATCACTGTCATGAACAATTCTTCTGTGGCTGAAAGATATTTCTCACTACTAGTAGATGGTAGACTGGTAGAGTTTTTCGCTTCATTTGACCACTTTTTCAGGTGGGATGAGGTGGCTGGGACCAGCAGATCTTTCAAGTTAGTATGGCCTCTGTTAACGAGAAGTTCTTGGTCTGCAGAAACTTAGGGTGGATGGCAATAGCTGCTTGAGGGTAGATGTCAGATTGTTCCCTCTCAAGAGCCTTCTACAGCCTGTGTAGCTTTCTGAGCTAACATCTCCTGATAGCTCAGCCTGGGAGCAACCCCATGGAAAATGCAAACATGGGGTCACCTTGGGTGAACAAACAGGAAATGACATACTAAGACTCCAGTGAACACTGATAACACTAATCCTTCCACAGGTTAGAACTGGAGCGGAAATGACAGCTTCAGGGGCCTCCAGTTTGCTTTTTTTTTCTACTATGCCCTACTAGGGAGATCTTGGAAGGGGAATTACCAAGGTTAGTAAATTCAAATCTCAACATTCACTGACTATTTCTTTGGGATATTGCCAGTCTTACAGTGTCTCTCCAAGACATGAAGTGTTGGGAGGAGTCTGGCAGCTGTAGGAGGTCTCAGTCATGCTCTTCCCTACTCTGACCTGAGGTAGAGGCGGCTGCTGCTGCTAAAATCTTCATAATCTTAATGGTAGACAGAAAATGGGAAATCTATTCTCCTGAGAGAAACTGCAGGCTGTAGCAAGAAGGAAAGATGGAGACAGGGCAAGACAAACAGCTCCTGCTTGGGAAAGCAATGGCTCTTTGTGTGTGTAGACAGTATAGTGCCTTTAGGCATTTGCTGGCTGTGGTGATTAGCCTTGACCAAACTCTGAGCAGCTAATGAGATTTTAAGGGTGTTAAAATCTGGCTAGAAAAGTTCTGCTGAAACTTTTAAAAATTTTCTTTTAATCTATTGAAATGGAAACCATTTTGCCAAGATGGGTTTGTTTTAACAGCTTCCAGTGGAACTCCTATTTACAAGACTGGTATTCAATTGAAACCTATCCAGCTGCTTATTGTATGGGCTGATGGACAGCTGAAATACCTGAGCTTTTAATAGCCCTTAAGCCTATGTCTTTACAGGAAGAGCCAATAGTTCAAAGACTGTCTCCTTACATAGATTAGAAGTGACTGCTACTTTATTTGAGGAGAATTTAGAGATATTTTGAGTTCTGCTCCTACCTGGAATGAAAAATAATTTTAGATAATGGAATCATTCGTGAATAGGAAGCACTTTCTGCTCCCATTTCTATTTCCAAGCTCCACTTAGACTTTCCTGGCACTTAAAAGATATATTCACATTAGCAACTGGCTGGCTTTGTGTGCAGTGACAGAGCGCTGCCTACTCTGAGACAAGAAAACAAGTTTGCATCCACTTTAGGAGACTGGTGTATGGAACATTATTTTGCTATTTTATCATTTATCATCTTATTTCTTAAGATGATAAGGTTTCTCTTCAGCCTTCCTGTACTAGGGTCTACTCTAGGATAATATTATCCTATACTCCACTCTATATTTCCCAGTAGTAGCATCCATTAATATCATTACCTTTTGCCTTACTGTCGTATTGAAACTTCCTTTTTTTGTATATGTCACATCCTTATCATCATATCTGGACTATTCCAGATTCAGTAGAGAAAAGACTGAGTATGGAGGCTAAAAAGCAGATCCTCTGAATTCAGGTTAGATTTACATGGGTTTTCTGAGCTAAGGATTCACTCTCCTCCCTCATTCACAATATCCCACCGCAAAATAAATGGGATAGTTTACACACATACAAAGCAGTCTCCTGTCTGTTTCTCAGGTGTCAGTAAAAAACGCTTTTTTCAACACAGTGATGGAACATTTTTCAGTCACCTGTAAACCATGTTATCTTGGAATCTGAGAGCACTTTATGAACAGTAATGAAAATAGTCCCACAAATTCCCTGTGAGGGATCTGAAGGCTTGTTTGTACTTGTAAGCTAATTTGCTGTAGACTTTCAAACAGCATCATTGAATAACTCCATGTGTGGACGTTCATTGTATGAATGAACATGCCTTGTTCTTGACTTATCTCAATTCACTTGGCAGTGAATTAAGATGGCTGGCCCAAGGCAGGCATTTATACAGTCCTGTATTCACTGTTCTAGTAAAAACAGTTTAGTAAACTATAGTAAGACTGTTCAAGAATGTCATTCTGTTTCTACATGTAGACAAACTTTCCTTATCTTTCCTTTAATAACAAGTAAACAAAGGCAACCAAACACCATGCGAAAGAGTGAATAAATCAAAACACTGGAAATAGAAACCAATTCTCCTTGGTGTTTGCTCTAACCACAATAAAACTTTCCTTGGAGATGCTTTCAAAATTGTCTTTTCTCTCCCCATTGTTCCTAACAGCCAGGGATCTAGAAATACATATTAAGATTCTTGTAGTGAGTCTTGTAAGCATGTCAGCTTTAGATGATTTTTTTTCTAGCCTCCCTACAGGAATCCTGGTTAATCCCACTGAATCTTATAACGCCATTCAATCATACATGAGAAAACAGAATAAAATCCTGTACAACCCAAAAAAACCCAAACCGCAAAACCCAGCACAGCCATGTTCCTGTTCCTGATTGTAATAAAGTACGTTGTTGTATTCTTTGGTCATCTTCCAGGTTCTGCTGAATATTTTTTTTATCCAGCCCAAATCCTTACTATGGGCTGTCAGACAATGGCACAAAGTATCTGTTCTGCTCTCTGGGCACTTCCGTTTTATCTGTGGTGAAGGGATGCAAAAATATTAAATGGTATTAGAAAGTATTGTAATGTTCCTCTTTTGCCTTATAGCACATTCATGCTGCTTATTTGACTTGCATGCCTGTTCTGATGAGCTAAGTCTTAATCCCAAGCTACTAAAGATGACGTGCTGATAGACACGGCACAACTTGTGAACTTAGGTAGGATACTACATTGATTAGTCAACCTCTCTGATGGAGGCTGTGGTATAGATGCTCTGTACTTGGGGAAATCTGAAGGCTTGGTTTTTCTGCCTTTGCGCAGCAGCTGTATTTCCTTATCCAAATTCTCTATCTCGCTTATATTGAAGACATACACCTACTATGATCTCCCAGGGGGTCTTTGCTTTTAGTTCTGGGGGAGTGGGGGTTTGTTTTCTTTGCAACAAAAGACCAAGGAGTTCACTTGCAAAGCATGGTAACAAACATACAAAAACATTCTGTGTCTTCAAAGTACATCTGGACTTTCATAGCTCCTTACACTTCTATTTCCTACTCTGGATTATAGGAGTAGAAAATGTGGGATACTGCAGGAACTCAGTATTTTATGACTAACTAATACATAGTTATCTTTCAGAGTAACTATTTGGCCTAATGCTTAACCATATAGAATAGAGTACAGTGGGAATACTTTCTTTGAGTACACATTATGTACACTGAGCACAGTGAACTAGTGGTGTTAACTGTGCTAGCTTACCTATGTTAGTTTTGGCATGATAGCTCTGGGTATAGTTGTGGTGAAGACGCAGAAGCACAGATTTTGGCATGTGTTGGCAGCCAAAACATATACGTGGGCTCCCTGCAGGATTTTTTTCATCTATATTAAAGAACATATCTCTTCAGTGCTACTGTTACCTGTGTTAGCTAGGATGTTTTAGCTTATGCTACTATCATGCCTTCCTTCAATATAGACTGACTATAATGTCTTAGAGCAGAGCTAGGGGATGTTGTGTCTTCTAAATGACATCCATCAATGGAAGTACCCTAAAGTCCATGCTAGCCTATATTTCTGTAAGAAATGCACTGCCATAGAACGTGAGGTCTTGCTGTTCCAGGCTTATTTCTTTAATGGCAAAAAGGAGGGGAAAAAAAACAAAATTGAGGGGGAGTAGAAAAAAAAGCCATAAGTATAAAAATTTCATGTTCCAATCAGAAGAACATCTCTGCTCTGGGGGATTGTGTGTAATAAGCAGGATAATTGTAAGAGACAATTTTTAACATTGTTGTCCTTTGTTTCCTAGAACTGTTTGTCTTGCAAAAATCTGGATCCTATCATAACCACTGTGACTCAGATTCTGAGAAAGTGCCACCCCAAGGAGCCTTTACCTGTCGCGACAGTAAGAAGTTCCTATTCCTTCCCTCTTCCTGGTAATGCCAAGGCCCAACCTCCCTGTGATGGATCTGAAGGTAAATGGCTGAAGGGTGAGTTCAGTAGGAGGAAAAGGAGCATGACAAGAGAATTAAATGAGTGATCTGGGGACGCGAGTCTTGGCAGCCTAGTCCTGAGGTTTACAGTTAAAATTAATCTGATGGCCTACAGTGTCACTCAGTAGAGATGAAACTACTCCCAGATCTTCTCGAAGCTTGGAGTTTCTGTTTGGAGAATAAATGAGAGAAGATTAAAAGGAGTAAGGAGAAGGGGGAAAAAAGAAATCCTTCTATTATCAAAAAAAAATAATGGAACAGAGTGGGCACAGCAGATGCTAGACATGCCATTGCTCCACAACAAACAACAACAGAGAGACAGTTGTGCCTGTGTGTGACTGTTTGCAGGCGGGGAACACTGCCCTGCAGCTTTTTCAGTAAAGAATTGCAGGAAGTATTATCCTTTTTCCTTTCTAAAATAAAAGCAGATAGCAATCATGCTGCATGAGTAAAAGATGTGAGCACTTGCTGAAAAGCAAAACTTAAACATAGGCAGGATAGACACTCCAGAGAAAAGGAGAAACAGCAGACTCCATGATACACACAGTAATTTCTCTGTTGCTTTGAGTTTCATATGGAAGATGCTCAAACACTACAGAGATGATAGCAGTAAAACACCCTAATCTAGATAATATAGATTAAGAGCATCCTGTAATATCGTTGCAGCCAAGCAGAAAATCTCTGTATTGCTTTGTAATACAAGTTGGATCCATATCATGGTGACATTTATCTTGGTTTTAAAAGACAGTGCTCGAGTCCAAGAGAACAGAGCTTTAAAAAGTGGGAGATTTAGTGCCAAATTCATTTATACTAGATTAACAAATGGGATCCGCTTTAATCAGTGTTGTGGTGGGTTGTAGTTTGCAAGCATGTGTGGCACACATAGAAGAGATTACACATATTTCTGTAAAGGGCCTGAGAGGGATATTAAATTGAATGCCTTTGCCTCTACCTCTTTTCTACTTCTGCAGGTGACTATGAAAGTGATGAAGAGGAAGAGGCTGAAAAAGATCTGGATAATGAGGATGTGGAGAGTAACGAGGAAGTAGGTATATAAGCCATAGTTTCCTTAATCATCCACACAATGGAAAGTAAAAATTTTCATTGTCCATTTTGACATTCTGATAAGCTGTCTAAGTGGAGAATGTAAATATGCATGTGGTCCCACATAAATACACTACATGGATAATAGAAGGATACTTGAAAGAAGAAAAAGAGAAAGCATTGGCTTTTATTGAAAAGAGTCTCCTGCATTTAACTTATTAATTGCCATGTTCGTCACCCAGGATGGTGTGGGTTTGGTCACTTCTCTGTTCCTGCAGAGAGACTGGCCAGTGACTATCAGAATCACATGCACAGTCAGGGACAAACGATGGATATTTGGTTCTTCTAGGTGTAGATCAGAAATGGCACTTAGTAGGGGAAAATTGAATTATCACCTAGGAAAGACTAACCCTCTTTTTCTTCCCATATCAGAGCATATTTGGGCTGTGCACCTACCCTAAGAAAAAGGTTAGTTCTTTTAAGTCACAGCTGGAGCATTTGAACCTATATTCCTTCTTTATTTGCTGCTGCACAGAGACAAATAATACAATGAATTATTCAATACTTTTCTGACTTCTCCCTTTGCACTCTCCCTGTCTTGACCAAACTGACAAAAAAACCCAAACCTACCAGCTGAGGATGAGAGTGCAAACTTTTTTATTGTGAAATACATACTAGCACATATGCAAATGTGAAGTAGTGAATGCTGCTAATAAGTCTTATCCACATAAAGTGGTCTAGGAAGGCAAATTAAAGAAATGAAGCTGCAAATACAGTCTAATTAGATATGATTGAGATTTCTGTGGAAGGATGTTTTCATTACTTGCCCTGTCTTTTTCTGCTCAAGTATTAAGCTGATGTCACCCAATGAAAAGAGGAAGTTAAAAAAAAAATAAAACACATTAGCTCAGTGTCCTAACTTGCCCCTGTCTGGCTGGTTTTATCTGAATATTAGAGCTTGTCAAGATGCTCATTAGGAATAAGGCTCATAGTGAATTTATCTCCTTTTTTAATTAGTTAATTCAGAAACAGATTCTATGTACCTCTGAACAATTTCATTATTCATAAGGATTTACCAAGTAGATGTGAGCAGGTTTTTTTTGCCTAAGAGCTTGCTCTGAATATGAGTTTTAAGTACTGTTTGTTTGGTGTGCTGGTCATATATCTCCCATGACAAATCTTTCTAAAGGGAAAACAAGCAAGGAATGGATAATGAACTTTCAGATTACCTTTTTTGTATGAGATATCATTTGCACAATGTTTCCTGATATTGATGTGATTTACAAATATTTTCACAGCTACGTAACACATGTCTATGCATACTAGTAATACCAATCAAATTGAAACTTGACTCTACACTTCCATCAGTAACTGTTCAAAGAGTTCTGTGAACATCAAAATAATCACGTCAACCATCTATCCTTCTCAACGCAAATCTTCAGCAAGTTTGAAGCTGCTTATGCATCATTATGCTGTTAGTAGCAAATACTTTCAAACTGATCTCATACTCTGTGCTGCTCTTCATTGCCTTTTCAACTAGGCCCAAACAGCGGTTCAAAGTGTGCTTTGCAATACAAATGTGGCTCAGGGTTTGAAATGTCATGGACACTTTTACATTCTGACAATTTTCTTTTTTTCTTTTGATAACAGTTTCAGAAATGAGTCTATTTATCAGGAGCAAATCACTTCTTTGCTGGCATTTGGTGGGGCACACTTACGAATGACATATCGAATTATTTGAATAATGCTGTAGTGTAATGCCCAGTCATCAATGCCATATGGATGCCATCCACATGGTGATGCCATCAATCCATCCTTCCCTCTTGCCTCTTCTTTTTCTGGTTTCTTATGCAATGACTGAATGCTTGACGCAGTTCAGTTTTGGTTCTCATATCTGATACGGAGGAGGTTGCACATCAATGCACATTTGCCTTTGACTGTGAAAATTTCAGATACGGTTCTTATCCCTGATTCACTGATGATTGAGATCTAAAAAGGTTTTTTCATATAAAAATATCAAGAAATTTGGAGAGTATAGAAGATGGATTGGGCAAGAGTTTCACAGATTTTTATAAGCAGCATTGAGAGATAAAAATAAAATATAAGCAATTGCCTGCAAGTTCAATGATACGGACGTAGGCCTTACAGTTTGATTAGTAGGCACTCAGCGTACCCATGTGGTTGTCTAAATCAAAAGTAGAAGTGTCAAGCTCTCTAATTTTGCTGGTGGCCTGTGAGGACAATTTTGGCTTTGTTATACTTTGAGAATTTTCTTGCTAAATGTATATTTATTTGATTATTGTTCTTTAAATCAGAATATTATCAATTACATCTTGAGGACCTGTGCCTACTGATTTGCACAAGTAAGGGAATGGGTGATATGCTCAGAAATAACTAGTAGTTCTTGGCTTCTCTTATTTTGAAACTTCCCAAGCTGAGGTGCTTATAAAAAAGTTCAAGTTTCAGTGCTGGTGTGTTTTGGAACCATCTTTTCATGGTATCTCTACTATCATGGTATCTATCTATCTACTCAAATACCAAAACATCAAATTCCCCTTTTTCATGATGTAGTCTTTCCTCTGTGCCTCTATTTTCCATTCCATAAAATGACTTTAACAGCCTTCCTGAGTATGCAAAGAACAGTTATAGGACTCATTAAATGAGTATGATATCATTAGAAATCAAAGGTATTATGCAGAATATTACTTTAACAGTAATCTTGTGGGGCATGTTTAATAGACATGCTTTTCTAATTCTGCTTTTGTAGGATTATGACTTGGAGACAGATGTGAACAAACTGAGGTCAAGGCCAGTGCTTGACCGACCAGAGGAAGAGCTTGGACAATATGAAGCAATGTGTCCAGAACTTTCCCATAATTTTCAGGTACTATCATAGTGCAGCTTCCTTTATTTGTGAATATTCAAGAGTTTAAGAAATACTTGAAAAGGAGTACTGACAAGAGATAACTAGGCAAGGCTATTGCAAAAGGAAACCCAGATGTCTTATAGGACTAGAAAAACAAAGATTAAGACTTTTTGCTTAGTCTGTTGGTGTGATAGGAAGTGATGTTGTTTGGTGCACATTTGGCTGGGTATGGAGTAACTAAGCACATCTGAATCAACTGCCACATGAGAAATCTGTCAGATAATAATTTGTATCCTTGCTGGCAATATCAAGATCAGAATGAAATATGGAAAATAAATACTGTCAACTAGTGTTTTGAAAGAAGTGATGGAGAAGATTGCACTGCCACTGAGTGAAATGCAGTTCAAATCATCGTTCTATTGCATTTGAGACAAGAAATGGAGTATTGCACTCATTGCATACAAGTTTTGGAATTTAGGAGAGCTGAAAACTGTGATTCAAATATGAATCTGGAAAGGACCACTGGCTTAATATATCTCCTGTGCACACAATGCTGTGACATTTATTATGACCATAAGTAGCCAAATGGGATTAAATTATACTCTTGCTTGAAGGTAGGGGTGAAGCTTTGCATGACAGATTGGCCTCCTTTATCCTGCTGTTAACATTTATATTTTAAAAAAATGCCTTGCAAATTATCATCCCTAATACGTTAGAATGATCAGTTTTGGTTGCAGATGACTCACCCAGATGACTCAATCAGATCCTTTTAGTTCCTAAGGACTACTGTTGAAGCAGCTTTGTGGATAGAGAAATTCTGGCAGGTGGTCCATGGGCTGATTTTACTCTGGCTGTCTTATTGGATGAGTACAGGTTTTGCAGATTTGTAAATATTTTCTTTTTATTCCTTGAAAGTTTTCCTCTGGAAGGAGGCACAATCTGTCTTTAGTTTCTTTTAATTTCTTCTGCTTTTTAAATTTAAAGGAGCTTGAATCAGAGTCTGAGGAAGAGAAGAGCTTAGAGGACAGGACTGAGAGTCTTCCCTCTACTTCCTCTCATTTAATTCCAAGTGCTACTTCCGTGAAACATCCAAACTACAAACAGAGAAGCCAAAGTGTCACAGAGACAGGACCAGATCCAGGGGAAAAAGATTTCGAAGTCCCACTGCAGAGCTGGATAAAGAAGGAGAAATGCAGATGGGATCCAACTGATGAAAAGAGAGACATTGCAGAAGCAGCCCAAGGTGCAGACTCCTGTGAAGTGGAAGATCCAGCCAGAAGTCATGTGCTTGCTTTGCGCCCTCTCCCAAAAGACACTGCTTGGTACAAAAAAATGTTTCACCCTGAATATGAGGCCTCAATCAATCCTAATCCTGGAGGGAAGCTGGAGAGCTCAGACGTAGTGACAAATCTTCTGGAGAAACACCAAGGGGATATCCCATTCCACAGCCCTTGCTTCTACATAGCTAGGGCCAAATGTATTAAGTCCATACCAGACTACAAAGACTTGGCATTCCCCGATTTCTGGGGTCACCAGCCACCTCCTTACAGCAAGCCCATGTTGGAGCGCAAGTATGGGGTTCAAAGGTGATTGTGCTTTAATATCATTACCACGCCGAGAGCTCTCAGACTCAAAACTGGTTTATGTAGGTTCTGACTATAACATTTCTGAATGTCTTGGGAAGTTGTAGAACAAATTTTGGGCTATCCAATGATTTGCGGCAAGGCCAAAGAGCAGGATGATCTTATTTGGGTTTTCCTCCTGAGGAAAGGAAAATGGTATCTAACTGGATTACGAAAAGGATTAGGAGTCAGAAAGCCCGTTTCCTATCCCTGACACGGACTGCCTGTGTGTCAGTGGATGAGTTGTGAACTGTCTGTGCATTGCTTTCTTTGTCTCGTACATCAAGGTAGTAGTGACAACCCTGGAGTGAGATTTTTATGGCTTCTGTGAATCCATAAAGACTCCCCTATCTCATATTCAAAATTGTTATAGATTAAACTAGTTATCAGTAAATGTATCAATGTACCTAGGTATGTGATGGGACTCTAAGCTGGTCAGAGCTCTGACATAGATTTACTAGTGACTTTTCCTTAAAGTAAGCAGACGAAGACCCAGAATGAGCCGTGAATCTGTGACCTTGTTAGAGCACAAATGAGAACAAGTTCGGTTTAGAGATGGAGAAACTCTGTGTACTTTTGGATATATTTTTTGCCTTCGGTCTTGCTCTTAATCCAACCACCTTTAGGGCTTGCAACGTTGGGTCCCATCTGGCTCTTTGAGGAAAAATCCTTTCTGTTCTCTCAGAGCTGTTTGGCTGTGTCAGGTCGTTCTTGGGAATCTCTCTGTCTACCCTTCTGCTGCTGTGTCCCTTCTCACTGTGCCTCTCACTTTCTGCTGGCTCCATGGGGTCCTCCAGAATCTTTTCCTCCTTCCCTAGCATGTGCATCTGCTTCTGGGAAGTCTGTCATGAGCCAGAGAGCAGCAGCGGGGACCAGGTAAGCAAGCTGCTTTCCCTCCCTGCTGCCCAGCCTACTAGGAGAAGACAGCATATATGGCATGCAATATGCAGAAAGAAATAAAAACACATCTCCCTTCTGGCACACTGCTAGAGGCTGCTGTTTTTCTCATATTATTTCAGGTGTTCAGATGAGGGGAAAGCTGTGTTTTGAAGCTGTGCTGGGAGAGGAAGCTCTTATAATGACCATTTTGTCTGTTCCATGTGTGGCTGTGTGCAATGACTTTACATTTCTTTTTAGTGGTATAGGGAGTTATTAGCAGATACCAAAGAGGCTGGATTCTGTGCTAAACTTTTAAGTTGATCAACACTAATCAAATGGTATTTGTGAAGACCACTAATTTCTGACCTCTAGAGACATAATGATTCTTTCTGTGGCAAATATGAAAGCTAAAAACCTTATTTAGAGGCAAAATCACTCTACCATCTTCTCCTTGCACTGTTGCCCTAAAAGCTTTGCTTTTATGACTATAATAACATGTGTAACCATACAGCTAAAATGGGAATAATCATATTATGCTTCAAGGCATAACATGATTGCTGCAAAAGTCAGGAAGAAAATCTGGTTTTCCGCATTTGATCATCTTTAGGGATCAGAAAGCTTCAGTTTATTAATGAGTAAAAATTAGCTTGATTTAGAGTCAAGGTTCACTATAAGACAGACTAGTAGGTTTATAAATTATGGCAGATATTTCCTCACAGGGCAAGGCTGGCCATTTGGGAGACTGACATTGGCTGGGAAGAACTGGGGATAAATCAAACTTGACAGAATATTGTAGAGAATAAAAATTTTACAGAATCAGTCATTTAACCTAAAAGGCTACTTATTGTAAGGGGAATGGAGCCGGAGGTTTCTCCTGGTAAAAAACAAAACAAATAAACAAAACCCCAAAACGAGCCAACCAACAAAAAAAAAACAAAACAAATGAACTTCACCTGGAATTAGCACATGGAAGTCTTCTTTCTTACCAGTCCTTGAAAAGAATTTCCTAAGCCTCTTTGTATTTCTTCTACAAGATTACCCTATACCAAGATTTCTCACAGTGTCATTACAATTTGCTTTTTTTTTTTTTCCTAGGGACAAAATACTAGGTGATGTTCGCCGTTTAGTCCAGCCAGATGATGTGATAGGCAGAACTGTATTTGATTTAGACGAGCCCAGGTGGGTAACTTAAATTAAGTACTGTAACCAGGGGTACTGTAAATGCTGGGCTAGGCAGTGAGCTCAGTTTATCTTTTCAGCTCTGATGTAGAAAAAATAACCTAGGAAGTAAAGGCCCAACTGGAAAAATATACAGGAGGAGTAGGTTCCTTGTACGTGGCTCTGGGGAAGTCACTGGAGCAAGAGATCCTCAAAATCTTTTAGATAGAACAAGAAAATTTATACATCAAAGGGACTGTATGGCGTTCCTGGATATGTCTGCTTTGCATGTAGTGACTTGGAACAGTAACATGCAGGCTGATGGTGGGAACAGTACCTATGAATCCAGATACAGTTTCTCCACACCCTGAACCAGCGTTTCCCATTGAGAGCACACTTCAGTGTCCATAGAGCCAGTGTTACAGCCTGTAGAAGTACCCTGAAAGGTGTGGCACTTATAAAAGGCTTCTGAAAACCATACATCCAGCCTTATGAACTGTTTTAAGTGCTCAACTATGGCCAGCAATTGTGCTCTTTGAGAAGATGTAGCACAGAGCAGTTGAGAGGGTCCCGAATATGAAGAAATTGCATTCAAAGGAAGGATGAGTGACTTGGAGAACATTCTTTAGAGGGGAAAAAAAAAAAAGTGAAGGACAGTTTGAGGTAGGAGAAAGTTGTGAAGTTATTCAAGATTAATTTAAGGGTTTCTAAGCTTTAGAAGAAGGAAACTATATATATGAGGGAAGAGTAAATGCATTGTAATTGTATAAATCTGCCTTGTGCAATTACTAAACTGATGGGAATAAGTCAGTGGGGAAAGAAACTGGAATAAAATAAATATGAACTGGGACAAAAGGGAGTATTGGGAAAGGAAAAGAGGATGCGATTTAGAGTCAGCAAGCAAGGGCAGAGAAGAATGCTGCATTGGATAGGAAGAGTATGGATTTGCTCACCTCTTGCTACTTCTCATGGTCTTGCTTATAAAAAAAACAAACCTCAAACCGATTTTAGCATACAAAAGGTGCTGGGGAAAGTTTCACTTTGAAGAGACCTTCTATAGATATCCTTATTTTGATTTACTGCAGTCACTCAAGCCCAGGTGCTCCAGGCTGTCTGACATTCTTCTCCAAGTTTGAATCAGGAAACCTTCGCAAAGCCATCCAAGTGCGTGAGTAAGTATGCCTGCAGCGGCTGTGTCCCAACCTGCCTTTCTGCTGTGACCACAGCGTGAAATGATGGAGTTCTTCTGGGTTTGGAAAGGGTCAGCCAGGAAAGCAGGTTATATGACACAGAGCTTATCGTGCCTTCCAACATCTTGATGTCCTGAAAGTAACAGGAGTGAGAAAACAGAGCTCAAAATGTTTTGGCATGACTTAACATAGTGTGAGTATTTAATGGTGTGTTTGGGCACTGCTAGTTTGATGGTGTTCTTTGACTCTCTCAGGATATTAATTAATTTGTTTGTATAGCCTGCTCTCCTCAGCAGACTCAGTGGCAGGCTGGTGGGGTTTTCATGGCCACTATTTTTTCTGGTCTCCTTTACAGGTTTGAGTATGACTTAATTATGAATGCAGATGTGAACAGCAACCAGCATCATCAGTGGTTCTACTTCGAAGTCTGTGACATGAAATTAGCAGTTCCCTATCGCTTCAACATTATCAACTGTGAGAAGTTCAATAGCCAATTTAATTACGGTATGAGTCTTTGGAGAATTGGGGTTGTCCTCTGTTCACAAGAATATCTTTTTAAAGCCGTAAAGGTTTTGAAATTTCCATGTCTGTAAGTACAAGGGACACTAAGTTAATCTTATCTGCCCTGAAATCCACTGAAAGAGTTACTTTAGATTTGTCAAAGGACCTTACTCTATCCTCAGGAGGACTGAGGAGTAAGCTGAATGTTCAGACCTGGGAGAGGATTTGTGGGGAAAAAACATGTCTGTATTTAGAAACCAGAACTGAGGAAGAATGGCATTGTGGTTGGGAGAAGGGAAAAAAGACAATCTTTTGGAATTGAATGAGCAGCATGGGATTGGAAAGTGCTTCTAATATTTAAATAAATGTAGATAATCCTCAAACATATATTCATGATTCTTTGGGCTTATCCAGAAAGACATCTCTGCCTTCAGACCTGCTGAGACTTCTGCTGATACTAATGATAAAAAAACCAAAACTGTTCCTTGCTGTCTTTGAGCTCCTGTCATAGTCTGTGGTTCAGGAGGAAGGCGGCATTGTTCAGAAATAGGCAAGGCAAATCCCAGCTTTTAATGCCCATTTTAGAAGAGAAATTATTTGTTCTGCATGGAGACTGTGGGTTGAATTCTTAGGTGGCATAGGCTGTTTCTTTAATTTGTTTCCATGGAGCTGTGTTAATTTACACCAGCTCAAGACCTGACTCAGAATGTTTAATAAGCCCCTAATATCAGACTTTGCATTCCCCTGAAGCCCTGTGGATACAGCCTTCGACATCATCAGGAGAACTCTCTCAGGATCGATGTTCCTAAAACAAATAGCACTAGGAGCTGGAACGACTTGTCACTTGTATTTGTGAAACTGGCTGGACAAGTGGCATAATGAATTATAAGGCATTTGCTGTTTAACCCTAAGGGCTGGAGTTCAAGTGTTCATATAGATCCCAAATGAAAATGAATTTTTTTTTGTCATCTTATTCTGCTTCCCTGAATTACCAAACAATTCAGTGTGTGCTGTCTGGTAGCAGCTTGAAAATGAATTATATTGAGATCCTACTGTAAACCCCAATACAACCTCTGATAAAGCCACCAGTAGCTTCATAGCTAAAGATTCTGGCTGTTATTGGTGGCAGGTTGCTTGTTGTCTGCTAGTTTGGCTGTTGTCAGCATTTATAATCTCATTTTGTGCACCTGAAATTGTACATGACTCACATGTTCAAGCGTGCAATGAAAAATGTATTTGGAAACCAAATGTGAAAATACCATCCAGTGTAAGGTGGGAGGCTAAGTCATGGCTTGCTTTTGTATGGCTCGCACGTGGAAATGGCTGTTAAAACAATTCTTCTATGGGTTATTTCTGCTGCTCTGAGAGGACAGTGAAGCTCTAGCTTACCTGGCTTGGCTGAGAAGGCTCACTACCTCTTCCAGCACATGCATAATATTTACACAGACTCTTGGTAAGTGATGGTATTTATTTGTTACGTTCCCTCTGCACTTTCCTAGGCTAATGTCCATGCTATAATAATACAAGCTTCCTGTTGTGATGTAGTGCCAAAGTGCCATGGGTGGCAATACCTTACAGCTCCTGGTTACTGATCTGTTTTGATTTTTCCTTCCCTTTTGCTCTTGGTTAGATGGCACTGTGTAACTTTCAAACCAGCAAAAAGGATATTTAATGAAATAGTTGTGACCAGGCGCAGAGCAAGTCAGGAGGTACAGCCTCTACCTCTCTCCTTCCTCCTTTTCCACTAATTTACTTTACCATGGGAAATAATGGGATTTCATCAAAAGCCTGATTTGTGTTTGTTTTCTAAAACTGAATGTTCCCATAGGGAAAGTGGAAAGGAAAAACTGTTTTTTTTTTTCTTTCTTTAACTAAAATGAGATGGCAGACCAGTATCAACCATCACTCTGAGGCAGTTTGGTGTGTGTGTCCTTTGGACTCACAGAGAAAGGCAGGAGCTGGCATTTGGGATGTTGAGAGCAGTGCAGACCCTGAGTCTCGCATCCCTTGTCTGATGAACTGGGCTTCTGGGCAGGCCTGTATCTCTCGAAACTCGCTGTGACCCATGTCCTGCAACCAAACACAGAATTGCTTCTTGTATATGGCTCACGGTGCTGAGTCAGGAAATGGCAATATAGGGGTTACTCCTAGCTCTAGGCTAGTTAGTGCTACTCTACACCACAGCCAAAGGCGAGCTGGAAAAGCATTACTGCCAGTACACTTGCCAGATCTTAAACTGCTGGAGAGTTTAACAGAGAAACCCAAAGGAAGAAGAGAAACTGAATAGCTGTTTATGAAGTATGTCATCAGTATTGATGGTTTTCAAGCATCACCTCCTCCCAGCGCAAGAACAGCCAAGAGAAGGCTCAGGGGGCAACATATCAACGTTCATAAATACTTGAAAGGGTGGCTTTTCTTTTCTTAAATATGGTTTCACAGAAGTGCTGTCAGCATCATTGCTGGGCTCAGCTGTGGCTGTGCGGGGTCCACTGGAGCTGGCTGGCACCACCCTGGGGCAGAGGTCACCCCTGCAGCCCCCAGCTGCCAGCAGCTCGCCAGGGACAACCTGGGCAGAGAGCTTCGCTGGTGAGGGCAGGATCCTCACTGTACCTGTAAAAGAGCAGGCAGGTGTGTAGAGCAAAGGAATTTGATGCAAAAACTGCCTGCAGACAGGCTGGCTTCATGGAGCTGTGAGTAATGTATATGCAGCTCGGATCAGAGAAAGCCTCATACCTCAGGGCATGAAATGGTAATATGTTGGAGGTCAGGAAGAAGTCATCTTTTGGTTTATTATGGCACAAAGACAGATGCTATCGTTACCAGCATTTATGGCACATAGGTATTGTTTAGGTCTAATGGCAAGTTTAAAACCTTCTTCTAGCTTTGTTTGCTACTTTCTGAAGGTACGGTACTGAATGCACCACAGATCTCCAATGCTGTGGTAGGATTATGGTTTCAGTGATGGCGCAGCCAGGGAAGTCATGTCACTTGAAACTGTCTGTTTTTTATATAGGCATGCAGCTGGTCATGTATTCAGTGAAGGAAGCTCTCCAGGGCAGACCTCACTGGCTTCGGGCAGGCTATGATATCTGCTACTACAAGTAAGTGCATTTGTGGTGAATAATTTGTGGCTTGCTTTCCCCTCTGTTCTCCTCCTGTTGACTGTATTGATGTTGTTAACCTTTGACTACTGGTGCCACCTGTTTCAAATGTCTCTAATTTGGTGCTAGTTGAATGTGTTATGTGCTTCCACCTTCAGAAAACAGCTACAAGCAAGATCTCTATATTAGATGCCTAGGGAGAAACAGGGCATGTGAGAATTCACCTCCCTAGGAGGATGAAAGGGAAGGGGGAGTGCTCAAACCTTGCTGATGCAGCCAGGAATACAAGGAAGCTTAACCCACAAAGGTGGCGTAGTTGGCTTTTTCCCCTGTCCAGGAATAAACAAGCTGGACAGGATCGTTGGTTGGTTGGTTGGTTTGGGTTTTTTGGGGGGAGGGGCAGGGCGGGGGAGTTTATGTGTGTGTCGAGGGGTGTGTGTGTGTGTACATTGACTTTTCTAAGAGACATAGAAGCTGAGGAGCTAAGAAAGGGTTAGCTTATACATAAGGGTCTTTGGGAGTGTGTGTATGTATATAGTGTATATACAGATATAAATATATGTGTAGAAACAGACATATACAAATACATATTTATTTGTGAATCTACCTCCATACCTTAGTATCTTCACGAGCTTCCCTTCTCTGCAAAGCTGGAACTCGAATCCTAGAAGGCAAACTGCTCTGTGGATGATGCTTATTGGCACCATATAGACCTTGTCCTGGTAGCAGAAACAGTAGAGATCTGCCTCACTTGCTGCCTTATGGGCACTTTTGTCTTTCTACTGGGGCCAGGCAACAGTGGTATAAAGGAGTTCTGACAAGCTCAGTGCTGATATTTATGCAAGTTCCCTGTTTCAGGCTGTTTCTGCAGTGTGTCAGAGCCTCAGAAGAAAAACAACACTAGATCAGTCTCATCTTTAACTTGTATCTGAGCTGGAGCTTGACTCATGTGAGAAAAATTCTCACTCAGGTATCTCATTTCCATGCAGAAAACTGATCCCTGATTCATTCTGGTTATTACAGTCAAAGGAGACAAGCATGGAGCTTGGGGTTTCAGTAAGTTGAATGAACTCTGTTTTATTTTCTCAAGGTTTCCAAAATGTTATCCACAACATTTATTAATTTTTTTAAAGATGATGATTGAAAGGGTTTTCAGGACTAGGATAACTGGTATGTTTTGGATTAGAAAATCTGTGCAGAGTTGAAGTCTGGGGCATAGAATAGAACAAGTAGTAAAATTACAGGTATGAGTAAATGTATTTGGTTGAGTGCCTGTGAGTGGGATATCTAGGAATAATGTAACCTGGGATGGTGCAAGCAGGAAGAGGAGCCCTGCACTGGAAAAAAGAGGTCACATGTTAAGGATGAACTGGTAGAGAATTATGAGTGATCTTCATGTACTTTGTAATCAAATACTGCACCATTTGGTGTTAAGTAACTATTTTATCCTGGCATTACCTGCTGTGACCTGAAAGCTGGGGCTGAGTATGTCTGAGTGACAAGTTTTCCCATGTATTTTTTCTGTTGCTTCAATTATTTTTTCTGTCATGATTCCTATTCACCAATTTGCATTACCAAAATGTCTCAGTGTCTCAGGACTCTATAGGTACTGCGTTAGGCACTGTATAAACAAACCAAAAGTCTTATCCTTGCTCCTAATACTTTGCAGTTGAAGCACAGGGCTTGGGCTACCCAATGACTGCAGACAGGCAGGGAAATACAAGAAAACAGAAAAGTGTTAACACAATTAACAATAATTATAATTGTCTGGCATGGTAAGTAGTGCTCACAGGACAGAGCTGAACTTTACTGATGTTCTAAATGGTACTCCCTCCTTCATGAACTCATGTGATGAGGCTGATTTTTAGAAACTGATGTGAAATAATGGGCTTTCTCTTTGTAAGAAGTTGTACTTGTGTTGTAGTTCACAATTTTGCTGTTAGGTTCAGAGGTGGCTATGTTCACAAGTGGATTTGATGAGACAATAAACCTGAACAATGACAGTGGGCTGCCTTCCAGAAGTAGCAGAGCCTCAAACTTGTGCTGACACAAAAAAATTCCAAGTTGTCCCAAATCTATGTGTAATCTCTTTTCTTTTTTTGTGGGGGTTGGATGGCCTGAAGGCTAAGATTATCCTCACTCAACCTGGCAACCTGTCTGGCATCCACATTTTGAAGGGAATCTCATCTAATTAGTTTTATCAGGAGTTATTCATAAATATAGGAAAAGAGTGATACACTTACAAAAATAAGGAGGAACTCAAAGATGCCCTTAATTGCTTTTGCAGCAGGGCTGTTATTGAGCACAACCTCTGAGCCGAAGGACAGTGGGAGGAAACGCACATTTGCAAGATGTCTGGGTGATGCATGTTGGCTGATCTTTGCTGATATTCATCTTCGCTGAAGATGGGATAGTTCACTCATAAAGATGAATGTTGTGGCACAGCTCTGTCATCGCATACCTTTCCCGTATGTCTCACAAGAGTTTTTGTTATGGAGAATATTAGCAGTGCTCTTGTCAAAAGGAAGCTGAGTGACACTTCTGCTCTATTTTATTGCCTTTCTGTGAAGTGACAGGATACACCCATGATAAACAGAGTTGCAGTTACTATAAGATTATGTAATTCTCTCACTGTCTTGGCAGCTTTTATGTGCTGAATAATATTCCTTTCTGGCAAATTATTTAAGGAACAATGGCAGCATGCTGAATTGGTGACAATGTGCTTGTGCCTTTGGTTTCGTGGCTCATTCTAAGCATATTATCTAACCTCCAGCTTTTTCAGACAATAGTCAGTTCACAGATAGTAATGAGGTACATAGAGTGTTTTGTTCTCACATCACCACTGAAGATTTGGCTGTTTGGTGATCATAGCAGTGTCAGAACTATGTCTTCTCTTTTCAGCACCTCTATAATCACATTAGATGAAATCATCATCATAGCATTAGCAGGCCACCTCTCAGTTCTAATGACACCTACAAGAGAGGACTAAGATACCAGTCTCAGTCTGAGAGCACCTGACCTTTACAATGCGACCAAAGGCCTTAATAGCGAGACGGCTGTGGGAATATTTTACTTTGACTGGGATTCTGCCTGCAATCTTGACAATCAAGATGCCTTAACAGGGATTTGGCCCTTGAAAAGGAAATTGTGTTGTGCATTTTCCAGTTTCCAATGTGGCAGACCCCAAAATAACAGCTATGCCCTGTAAGTTGTTAAATGTGTGGTTTTTTTTTTTTTTATGGTATGAACTAAAGCATATGGCACTTAGCAGCCCCACTTAGAGATGTAAGAAGGTCAGGCCATGTAAAATGAGGACACCAAACTTCAGGTGGTAGAAGGATTTTGAACAAAGTGAATGCATCAGCAGATTAGAAATGATAAATAGCTTACTTTCCATTTGGACTGTGTTTTGAAATGGCCTAGAAATCCAGGATATTGATATTTTCTTTGGCTGTTTTAGTCTAAGCTGATACAATGCCATATTCGAACACCTACCAGTGCTTTTTACTATACTAAATGCTGCAGACAGGAAGTCTAAAGACAAGACACCAAGAGATGTTTTTCTTGTATCGCTTGGTGCTTTTGAATTCCTGAGTTACAATCCAGCTCCTTTAGTGACCTGCCTGTATCTTTGGCCAAGTGGCTTCACCTGTCTGTGTCTGTTTCCCTATCTACAAAGGATGGAAAATTAGAGTCACTTATCTGCCACCCAAAGAATGAGAATAGATAAATGGGAAGCAAGTTTTAGTTAGATAATGATTGCAAAGGTCTTTTAAGCTCAAAAAAATTATCATGCAAAGCAAGTGATAAGTAGTTTTATAATTATTATTAATTAACTTTCCATCACAGCTATGCTAGAAATATACTACCTGTACATTATTTCTGAAGGAGAACAGCAAGCAAAATAATTTCACTTTTACAAAATGACTGAAAGGCACAGTAGATACAGCTTGCATGCTGGTTAAATATCCCCACGCTTTGGTCTCTTATTTTCTTTCCAATAATCAGCATATTAGTTTCTAGAGAGCATGTGAGACTTTGAACATTTTTTTTTGAAAGAGAACACAAATAAGGTAGTGAGGACCAAATGTTGTTAGGATCTTTTTTTCCTTCCCTCTTCCTTTCTTGTTAATTTGGGCTTCACGTTGGTATGGTAGAGTGTTGTGAAAAAAGAGTGAGGAAGAAAAACTCTCAGCCCAGTGGAGGAACAAGGAGGCAATAGAGCCATCTTGGGGCGACAGCAGTAGACAGAGAGGGAGGCAAAGAGGAAATATGCTATTTTTTAGGTTTCTTTTAAAAAGACTCAGAACTACTGCATTGTATGATGGATTGTGAAGAGACTAGATTATATGCAGTAAGAATACATGATCATTTACACTGCTTACACACAGGTGATTTTTCTTTTTAACACATGAGTGAAGAATATTGAAGCCTTATAAAGCCACCTGTAAACTTCCTGTTACTACTAGATAGTTTGCTATAGATTGAAGCAGGTGTCAAGAAGCGATTCAAAAGTCTGGAAATGTCTGTTCTGGGCAGGTAGTTTGCTGGAACAGTATTGATGCTCAGAACAAGAATGAAACATGCTGCTAAGCAGTGCGGTGAGAGCGCTGTGGATTGGTACCCTCATGATCATGCGATCTGAGCACTGTCAGGAGTAAGGACCATTGACTACCAGCGTACCATCAAGGTCAGAGATGTCTGGTGCTGCAAAACCTCTGGGTTAAGTGGCCATTTTAGACAGGAGAGACATTGTTGGCTGCATAATTACAGACTATAGAGGGAGAAGCCTTTATTGGAGCATTAGGGACGGGTGGGAATAAAGTGTATGTAAGATATTTAGGCAGTATCTGCTTGCAAAGGCATGCTTGTTCCCACACCTCTAACCACAAATGTGAATTTGGAGGGGAGGACTCAGAAGATCTCAGTACTTTATGATAGTTCTTTATGAATTTATGAATTTAACCTTCCAAGTGACAGTGAATATAATAGAGGCTATGGAGATGAGTATTTTTCTTTATGCACTATATAAGAATGGTTCTTAACTATCCTTCGCTGTCAAAATTAACAGGAACTAGATTAAATGTAATTGTTCTGACTAAAAAACAAACAAACAAACAAACAAACAAAACCCACAAAACCCACCAAACCTCAAATCCAGGATCCACTGAAATACTTGTATAATAGCTAAGTAGATGTTTATGTATTTGCGGGTTCATTGCTTTTTTTTCTTCTCTGAGCCTCTTTGTCCAATATTAAGGTGGTTTATTTGCAAAAAAAAAAATGTTAGGTGGAGGGTTCAGCTGAATAAAATCATAGACTTTTCAGTTTGCCACTGTGACTCAGTGTTCCTGTACTATCTATTGATCCAGTCAGTGTCACTCACCCCACAGGTTCATAACTATAAAATTCAGATGAAAACCCAGCAGCATTGTATTGTGTCTTCCTTATGAAAAAGAGCTGATTATTTTGGAGAATTTGACAAGAATAATTATCTTTTCTATCCACCCCTTTGAATAAAAATGAACAGTGGCAAAATAAACTAGTATTGTAAATTTCAGGAGCTGAAATTGCATCTTCTGGTTGCCTGTTCTATTTTGCATTTTAATGCAACATTGATGATAACATTTGTCAAAGAAACCTCACAGTCCTTCAGAATCAGAAGGTTCGGCAACAGCATAATTGGTGTAATGTGGGAAAAATATTGTTTGAAATGTACTTATGGATGCGATTTGCTGTGAGGCTTCTCCCTAAAGTGCATGAATTGTCTCTTCATCTCTGCTGAAAGAAAACTTTCTTACTCAGCCTAAAGTCATCTTTTTATCAGAGTAAGTCTTCTGCAAGAGATCTGGTCCTGGAACTACATTGAGAAGCTTACTTTAAGATTTTGTAGCTTTAAAGAAGCGAATGTCCTTCTCTGAGCTCTGTTGTAGTAAGGCTCCAGCGCAGTCATTACTGTGACTGCTTTGCTGTCAAGTCTGGTGATCTGGATCCTGACTCATGGACTGACTTCCTGGTTTCACCCAGACCTGCCAAATCACCACAAACTTGTCTGGATGAGCTGGACGTGTGGTTGAACCTGTCTGCTATCCCCAGGCATGCCCTGTTCGGGTACTGTAGGAGGGGACCCTGGCTGGCGAGAGCCCTGCCCTGCTGACTTCCATACCAAGCTCAGCTTCCCATCTTTTAGGGAGCAACTGGTCCTCACTGCTCCCTGACAGGGAGAGGCTCAAGTCTTTGAAAAGGATGTATCTAAAAGTGATAATTTTTTGGGTAGTTCACAACCTGCAAATCTCTATGAGGTCGCTTCTCCTCTGTGTGCAGTCACTACCCCAACCCACTCTCCTCGTCTTCCTACTCAGCAAAGAGCCTTTGATGATATTTGAAACATTTTTATCTATGTCCTACATTTATTTTTTTTTTTTTTAATTCCTGGAATATCTCTTTTCTTCCTGTGGTGGAACTGAATGGTTGGTTTGATAGGATATTCATATTTTCTAAATCTCCAGGTTTTCACAGAATATTTTCACATGGCATTGTTCAGGGCTGTGAATAGGTACCTGCATCTCTGAGTAAGATAATTTGGATGTCGGAAGCAATACAGCAGTGCTAGCTGAATGCATTTGTTTAAATATGTCTGGACTGTGCTATATGAACTAGTATTAGCTGGCTTCTTTCTTATTTGCACCTTCGCAAAATGAAACAAACTGTTATTTTTCTATGAGAGTGCTCCCATCCATCAGCAGCACATGACTAGCTGTGGCTGGCTGTGCCCAGTACTGCCACATGCAGTTCTGCTTCTTAACTCCATGCTGGTCTTTGTGTACTGTGTGAATCTCAAGACACTGTTGAATCTGATGTACCACCTTGGCCAGTGGTACTTTACCATTGGGACCCTGTTTGCATCTCTGTCTGGTGGAGTCATGGTTTCTCTAATGTTTCTTCTTTCATACGGCCTGTAGGTACACTGCTGTGTTACGGGATGTTGTTTAGCCCCATGATATATATTTTTATACCTGCTCATTGCTGGAATTGGACTGATGTACTTTCACAGGACCTTCCCAGTCTTAGTACAATGACTGGATGAGTTGGAGCCCATCTACAGCATGAGATGAAAGCTTATTCAGGGTGGATGCTTCTCTGAATGCTTAGTTCTCTCATGGCTGTTCCGAATGTGTATCTAGATGTGAAACCCATCTACTTCCCCCCCTCTTTCTCTTCTTCCAGAAACCACTACCGTTGCAGTGCAGCTGCAGGAGCAGGAGTGAGAGGAAAATGCTACTACACGCTCACCTTTAGCATCAAGTTCCCTCATAAAGATGATGTCTGCTACCTGGCCTACCATTACCCCTATACCTACTCTACAATGATGGTAATACTGATATGTCCACCTAGATCAGCTAATGGGCCTGATGGGTTAGAGCTGCTTGGGTACGTGTAAATTTTAAGATAGCATAGAGGGCCATTTTCACAGGCAGTTAATGATCATGATGCTGTCATTGCCTTGCTTGCAACTGCAACCCCTGCCAGCTCTGAAGCCCAGACTGCTGTAGGAGAAGAAAAATTTCTATATGGGATAACTGGGGTACAAACCATTAGTGCTTATACTAGTCATAACGCAAACCAAAGATGTCTCCACTTGCTTAGGGCTGCAGGATCCTCCTCCTGAATGAGTGGGAAGCAGTGGGCTAAAGCTGATGGCAACTTAGAAGGGAAAGCTTCCTCCTTCTGACAGAGGGTAATAGCTCAGCTTTCAGAGCTGCACCCAGCAATATCACAGTGCTGGACCTCATTTGAATGCTTTGTCAGCTGTTTCCTCTGTGCCAGTTGGAGTGTCGGTAGACGTTTGTGACACTCCCACCAGTGCTGTCAGTACAGAAACTAAAAGAATACAAGTCCAAGGATTAAACTGTATGCTTGAGTTTACCAAGTTTGCTTCCTGGCAAAGGATTTGTTTTCTACAGCCTTTTCTGGCCAGGTGTGGATGGTAAGGGAATTTTCTGGGAAATGTGTCCAATGTGCTTTCTATATGATTGATGTAGGAGAGCCCAAGGTCTGAAAGGAAAGTAGGATAAAAGAAGGGAAATGAATAGTTCTGGGAGTAGCTTTGCTTTGTTGTTAAAGATGAGAAAGATGTTACTGAAAATGAAGACACACAGTTCCAGTAGATCAGTTCTCTTTCCTTCTCTACTCAGTTTCCATTGTCAACCCTTTTTCTTTGGGGCAACAAATGCCCATGTTGGTTGGTAAAGTTTGTGCTCTCTCTATATTTTTTTAAAATGGTATCAGATTGCCATTACTGGATATGAAAGACTCTGCTATCAAGGGAGACAATGTCCCCTCCCACTTACTAGCCATGCTGCTCAGCATACCAGCATAGTTAGGCTTAGATTAATTCCCACTCAGTCAACAGTCTCTTGTAAATTGCTTTGCATTCCATTATAGATGTTCAAAGAAACTGCTTCCAATACCTGGGAGATGGCCAGTCAAGCCTTTACAGTCCAAAATATGCCTGCCAGCTCACTTCTCAAGAGGCTTATGAGTACCAGTTACTCCTCAAAATCAATGAGGAAAAGAGTATGCTCTAGTAGTGGGGTTTGACCTACAGCCTTGAAGACATGTATATCCTACAGGGGAAAAGACAACTGCAATACTGAAGAATTGGGTGAACTTATTCACCACCATACTTTATTCCTGAAATGCAGTGCCTCATCATTATTTTACTGTTATTGATTTCTAGCTTCTGCTGGCACAAAAGCAAGAGAGACTTGAGTTTGTATGCTCTGAGAATCCCTGAATATCTCACCTGCTCCTGAATGAATAGAATAGAGATTAAGAAGATGTTACTCCTAGACTTGCAGGGCCAAGTCTTGAAGTATTTCACTGCCTCTTCAAATAAAATGCGCATTGAAGTTAAAGGGAATTTTGCCCCAGGAAAAGTTTAAATTAACTCAGACTCAGTAAGACCCATAAAGTTTGGTACATGGGAACTATGGATGGAAAAGATTGATAGATTGTCATGTCCAGCTCTTTCGCCAAAGCCAAATTGTTGCCTCTAATAATTCTAAAAGGCTTCTTTGCTTGGACTAATTTAAAATGTTGAGTGATGCAACTTACACATTTCCATGTTACTTTAATTTCCACAGTAAATAAACTAAATCAGGTTTGTGCACTAGCAGATTTCATTTTAAAGCATTTGTCCACTGGTGAAGTGTGTTGGTTTTACATATCAGTAATAAATTAAAAGTGATTACAAACCCAAGGGCTCAATTAAATGCATACTGCTTTGGGAAAGAAGATAAACTTGTATATGGAGTTAGTAATTTGAAAATGTTTTTAAATATCATATATATTTAATAGTTACAGGCATATTTACAGGAAATACACATTACAGAATCCTATTTGAACTGGATGCAATCTGCAGTTCATTCCTTTTTGTCCATTAGTAATTACATTTATTTTATGAACAGTAATTTATCTATTTTTACATCACAGTGTTAATTGTTTGGATATCTAGCCGAAAACTCTGTGGCAACTATACCCAATTAAGTTCCACTGGGTACCAGGAACATAAGTAAATGATTGTATTGAGTTCTCTGTATCTATGTGAGATCGTTAGATGCATCTTATAATTGAATTTACTTTATAGAGCAGTATGTTAATTGTTTTATGACGCAGATAACTGTAAATATGAGTTCTGTGTTTGCATTCAAATGGTTAGTGGCAAAGCAGTCTGAAAGATGGCAAGCTCTAAGGTTTCAGGAACAGGAATTTCTTGTCCCATAAACTTTGGTTACAATTTACTCCTGACTTGTAAAGACGAGAAGTTACCATGTAAGGGTTGTTCAGTGAATTGGTGTGTTTTAGTTAAAGTACTGTTAAGATGACTGTGCATACTGTACTATACCTATTTCTACCAATCAAGAGACAACTGGTGTTCCACAACACTTAGCAACACCCTGCGATGGGAGTACTTACGCTGATCTTGCCACTTGCAATTACAGTGTCAAAAGAGAGAGCTACGCATCATCTGGTGTGTGGGTGACAAGTGGCTATGTGTCTAATGAGGCGATCAGAATGCGTTCCAAAAAATTTTCTTTAAGCTGCCAATTCTTTTTCTCAAATTTCCCAAGAAGCTGTTGGACTTAGGAACTGTTTAAAACTGCCCTTGGAAAGACTCTCTTCAAATTTCCCACTACTGAGTGTACAAAATGTTGTTTTGATGTAAACTTTTTGGCTGCTTCTGGTGTGGAGCTGTTCCTGAGTTTCACTGGCATGTGCTTGACAGCTAACCAATCGGTTCTATAAATGCTCAAAAATGGTGAATTTTCCTGTGTTTCTACACAGTCGCTATGAAAATATAAGGAGTAGGCAGTTCTCTTTTGGACTTCATGTATGCATAGAAATTCCTTTACACTAACGAGAAAAGCACCTAGGAACTGTTCAAGTAAAATCATAGCATGTAGAATAGTTTGGGTTGGAAGGGATCTTTAAAAGTCATCTAGTCCAACACCCCTGAAATGAGCAGGGACATCTTCAGCTAGATCATGATAAAAGAGTAAATAGGCCTGTGTGTCTTTAGTGAACTGGGATGTATTCTGAATGACTTGTGCATATTTGTGGGGTGTAAAAGGTGATGATATTAACTGGCAGAAGAGAGGAGCTGGGAAGTTAACAACAGATGAAATTAGTACCAATAATAACACACAGCTAATGGAATAAAATCAGATTTTATAGACTCTGAACTCATTTCTAAATCTGCTTCCTTGCTTCTTTCTTAGTCTCATCTTGATATCCTGGAACAAAACAGGAACCCCAAGAAGGTTTACTGGAGGCAGCAGACACTCTGCCAGACACTAGGAGGAAATCTATGCCCATTGCTCACAATCACTGCCATGCCAGAATCTAAAAAAAGAGACGACTTGGAGCAATTCTGTAAGTAGCCAAATGAAGGATTAAAAAAGATGCTGGCAAGTTGCGGTTATGTCAGCAGTAGTAATGACAACCTGTTTTGTGAATATGTTGATTTTCTTGCCTTTCTCATTTTGAAAAAAGAAATCTAAATATGTAGAATAGCCAATTACAATGCTTTTTTTAAGTTACAGATTTACGTGGAGAACAGAGGAGAGCTGACACCATTTTTTACTTCAAATTTTTGTTCAATGATCTGTTTAGTATCAAATATCTCCAACAGTAAGAAGCTGTGTTCATGTAACCAATTCAACAAGAAATCTTGTTTTTTGTGTGTGTGTTGATGTTCCATATTGAAATGATTTACGTATTTTGAGGTCTCAAACTCACTCAAAAAAAAAAAGTACAAGGTCA